ATTTAGTTTCAAGTGGTTTTTTAAACTAATGAAATTTAAACTGAACCCTACCAAACGGTTTGGTTCAGTTTCGAAATGATTCAAACTTAAACTACGTGGGCTCAAACCAATGAATCAAAATTGCAATTTTTGTTCGTTTTCACGACTTTGCAATTGTTTGTTTACCCCTACATTGAAGTGCGACGAATGCATGTATAAAAACAAGCACTACCTTTTGATACATTCAATTCAAGCACACAAAATGTAACACGATGCGATTTTAGCCCAATGCAATTTAGTAATTTCCAATCCTTGTAAACACAAGCCACTTGCAACGTGCTTTGGCCAAATAACCAGAAAACACCAGAGGGCCAATGAAATTCCTATAAACATTGGACAACCTTTTGAAAGTCAAAACACATTTCATTAAAACAGCTCGATCGTTGAGAATCACAAACAAGAAAAACTATGATCTACAATTTGTCCAAAATCGAAACATCGCAACTCGACAAGAAATAAGAAGCAAGAATTTGTGCTATCATATTCCCCTCAAGGGCAGGCTTCTCCATGTTAGATAACCTGGTCAATGTCTCGTCTGGGCATTCCATTCCGCGCAAGGAGCATAAATCGCGTACTAAGGCTGAGATGCCTTGCCCGCGATTACGCCCAAACGCAGCATTGGTAGAGCGCGGCCTTGATCAGAGTCATATTGAACATATTCGAATAAGTCATAAATATCTTTTAAAACACTGACGTTTGAAACAAAGCTGAAGTCCAAATAAAGGCTTAAATCAAGCGAGGGAATCACACTAGACCTTCTCCAGGTTAAAGCCATTATTCTTAGAAAAAAATGACCATCCGCTTCTGCATCATCAGTTGTGTCCTTCCTTCTCCTAGTAGAAGGTTAAAAACGTGAAGTGGTTAAAAAGTCATAAAAATTAGGAAAAATTGTAGTAGCGGTCCCTAACTTTTTCATTTTTTTTTTGTAGATTTTACTCTAATCTTCATTTTATGCCAGTGAAAATCTCTAACCTTTCATAAATATGCACACGAGATCCACCTGGACGGAAACTGTCCAAAACACCGCCAATTGACCAGGAAAATTCCTTGAACTATCCACCACCATGACATTTTGGACAGTTTTATTGGATGTTGATTCCTTAATTTTTTCAATCAACTGACGGTGTTATAGACGGTTTCCGTCCAACTGGACCTTAGGTGCATATTTATGAAAGGTTAGAAACCTTCGCTGGTATAAAATGAAGGTTAGGATAAAGTCTGTAAAAAAATGAAAAGGTGAGGCACCGCTACTGTAATTATACCTAAAAATTCATTAGACGTTTGTGTAAAATAATTTTCATAAATGTATTTTTAGAGTGTTCTCTCTCTCTCTCTCTCATTTTGTTTTGTGTTGAGACTACCTTATTTTATTATCTGTTATTGGATTATCATCCCTTGGTCTGACCTCATTGTCATTCAACTATGGCTCTCTCTCTCTCTCTCTCTTATTTTGTTTTGTGTTGAGACTACCTTATTTTATTATCTGTTATTGGATTCTCATCCCTTGGTCTGACCTCATTGTCATTCAACTATGGCATTGGCAGCTAAGGAGCTCGTGGACATAAATTGTCTCGCACAGATACCATGCACAATATTTTGGCCTCATATTACATTTTCTGTTTACACTTATCAACAAGACAAATCATTTGACAAAGATTTCATTTTGGTAAAATTAAGATTGACTATATGAACTTTTTACTACTGGAATTGCTTCTTAAAATATTGTCCTCGTATAAATTTTGCACAAAATAACTTTTGGTTATGCTAAAATCCATTTCTGACTTTTTTATCAAGATAAGACTAAAAACAATCATCAAAATAAATATATCATACAAGTAAATTCATCCCTTAGAAGACGCTATTGACCTGTCCTCTCAACACTAAAAGTCTAAAAGAAAACAACTCATATCATAAAGCTCTTGCAATTACATCCTTTAGCATGTAATGATTATGTGAGAGCCCTTGTTTAAGCAAAGCCAAACATGGTGAAAGCGCCAGGTTTAAGCAAAGCCCAGCAGGAAGGAGCCTCATTCCCTTTATTTGTCTACCTATCATTGTGAGAAAAAACCTTTTTATTCCATTTATCACATGCCCATCATTCATCTTTCTTCAGTGCTTGAACAACTAGTCTTGAATAATTATTGCCATTTCCACAAATCCAAACCACATTTCTTGCCTTTTGTTTTTACTTTTAGAACACTGGACATGGTTGAGGTAAAAATTGAAGGTAATTCCTTATGGATAGAACTCTTTCAAACCAAGAAGAAAGAGAGGCCACTATGCAGCACCGGCCAAAGCTCAAGTCTTTTTCACTTCTGAAGCAGACTACTAGTTCAAGAAATTCCGACCCAATATCTACATTGTCGTTTTGGGCTTCAAAATCTATTAGAATCTTGAAAAACAGAGCCAAAGTGGCTAATGGGTTTTCCAGTAAAAGGTTCCATTTTGATGGTATGGTAGTGAATAACTCTGTGTATTGTGCTTCTCCCAGTTATCTTGAGGCTGCAATGGAAGGTTTGGTAACGGATAGTGAAATAGTAGAACAGGGAAATGTTGGGTTTAGTGAGAATAGGAGTAAAACTGGTGCCTTTTTGGATCTGAATGAAGAGGAGATTAGAGAGAGTAGTTCAAGTTCTGATTTTCTGGCTTCTGAAATTACTAGGAATGATGAGAACAGCAGTTCTGAGGATTCTTCTTCACCACCTTCAATGGGTTGGTTAATGCAGAATAATGAAAGGCCACATCGTGTCAAATCTGATGTTTCTAAAGAGGTTGAGAAACCCCATTTGGATAACAGAAAATTAGAGAAGCAAGGGTCATCTCTGTCAGGTACTAATTATTCATATATCTTTTTTTTGTTATTTCTATTAGTAATGTGTTAGCTTATGTTTTATACGATCATATATTTCTATTGATTAATATAATTCCTAGGATTTTCGTGTTGTGTAGAAATTGAGATGATGAAAGAAAGATTTTCAAAATTGCTGCTTGGGGAAGATATGTCTGGGTGTGGAAATGGGGTTTGTACTGCTCTGGCTACATCAAATGCTATTACTAATCTTTGTGGTATGTTACTTAAATACTAAATTAATATCAGTTAGTTGATAAGTTTGCTTAATTTGAGATTGGAATGGATTTGATTATGATCAGTGTGTGCAACACGTGCTTTATTGGTTTTATTAGCTACACTTTTTGGGCAAATATGGAGATTGGAACCTTTACCAACTGAGAAGAAACTGATGTGGAGAAGGGAAATGGAGTGGCTTCTTTGTGTTAGTGATCATGTTGTTGAATTGATACCTTCTTGGCAGACATTTCCAGATGGAAGCAAGCTTGAGGTATCTCACTAAACCTGGAACAATTAAATTGAATATCTCGCAACCTTATAGTCTATCACATCAATTGCTTGAGGTTTGCAAGTATACACTCGATTAAGAAAAATCAGTATTATGCATTTGGTTTATATGGTTAATGGAAAAGATAGCTGTGTTTTTTATAGTGTTAGGAATTTGTAACAAGTTTATGTCTACGCTTTGATTCAGATCATGACTTCCCGACCCCGGTCAGATCTATACATTAACCTGCCAGCTTTACGGAAATTAGACAATATGCTACTTGTAAGATGCTTGTTTTTTCTTCTTGATTGACGGCCTGTACAATTGAACAATTATTCTAATTTTCAGGCTTTTTTCACAGGAAATATTAGACAGCTTTGAAAATTCAGAGTTCTGGTATGTTGATCATGGTATTTCAGCGCCAGAAACCAATGGAGCTTCCTCTTTCCGCATGCCACTTCCCCATCAAGAGGAAAAATGGTGGCTTCCTGTTCCTCGTGTCCCAACTGGGGGCCTCAGTGAAGAAGCAAGAAAGAGGTTACAGCATAGTCGTGATTGCACAAACCAAATCCTTAAAGCTGCATTGGCCATCAACACTTCTGCTTTGGCTGAAATGGATATTCCCGATGCATATCTAGAAGCACTTCCTAAGGTATTGAGGTACTCAGAGCGTGTTTGGCACACCTAAGAGTTAGAAAGTAAAGTTATATTAGTAAAATACCATAACTTTGAAAATCATGTTAGGCAAAATAAATTTTTAACAAGATTGACTTGGCTTTAAGCGCTGCCAATCATGCTCAGAAACATGAAAGTCTACTGTTATGTGATCAAAAGAGCAGGTTATTTACTCATCTCCATTGTTGTGGTCGTGGTTATGGTTGCAGAATGGAAAAGCTAGTTTGGGGGATCTTATTTATCGCTACATTAACTCAGATCAGTTTTCACCTGAATGTTTGCTCGACTGTCTTGATTTGTCTTCTGAGCATCATGCTCAAGAAATTGCAAACAGGTTTGAGGCTTCAATCCATGTGTGGCGCAGAAGATCAAACTCAAAACCATTACAAATGGCACAACGATCCAATTCAAAGTCATCGTGGGGAATGGTCAAAGATTTTGTGATTGATGCAGATAAGAGAGAATTGCTTGCAGGCAGAGCTGAAAGCCTGCTTCTATGCTTGAAGCAACGGTTTCCTGGTCTCCCTCAGACCTCTCTGGATATGAGCAAAATCCAATATAATAAGGTTTTACTTAAAACTCAACGCCTCGTCTCATTATTTGGTGGATTTCTTTCTTTAAAGGCCTCTTATTTTAAGTTAAGCCATCTACCATTATTAATGCATGTCATCCCTTAGGATGTCGGCAAATCCATTTTAGAGAGCTACTCAAGAGTTCTGGAGAGCCTAGCATTCAATATTGTGGCACGTATCGATCACCTAGTCTTCGTGGATGACTTGGCTAAACATTCAGATAAGCTCTTGCCAGTCTCCAACGTTGGGATGATGGCTCATAAGAGTGTTGGCATTCGACTACCAGTCCTGTCCAGCACGCCGTACAAAACAGCTTTTGCAACGCCGAGCTTCTCACCTGCAGAGCACATAAGTCCTGCAAATGGAGATAGGTCTCCATATATTGAAAGCAACAAGCTTTCCTTTCGCGGGTTTGGTGTGAAAAAGGTTTTGACAGATTATCTGAGCTTTAATTCAAAAGGGAAGGAATTTAGCAACCTTGGAAGATCAGATTCCTTTTCGAGTACAACTCGGGAAACGTCGACATCTCCTTCAGTTGAATCTTGCAGGTTTTCAAAAGAGGCTGGTAGTTCACAGATACACCATTCAGTTGGGGAAGAATGAACAAATTGGTCCTTCTTCATTCCTTCATTTATCTTCTTCTTCTTGTTTTCTTTTTTAGATTTCCAAGGCTACATATTTAATTCATGTATCAATATTATCATCAGCTGAGTGCAATGTATTCCCAATATACAATCTCCTTTTTGAGATTGCAGCTATTCAACTGATTTCATCTTCAGAAAAAATGGTATATTGCAGCTATTCAACTGACTCAATCTTGAGAAAAAATGGCATTAGTCTTAGATCCTTGCCTCGACAAATGATATGCAAACGGTACAAGTTGAAAACAACCAACAATATCGAGGAAAGAGATTCCAATGATTTTCATCAAAATGATGTAATCAGAAATGAAAAGGATGAGGAGCCTCCAAAGTTTTTCGTTTACTCTGGCAGTTTCATAAGCTATATAATTATCTATTTTATACTAACATAGCGTAGCTGTCCCAGCAAAGTCGTTGTAGTATAGTGGTGAGTAGTCCCGCCTGTCACGCGGGTGACCCGGGTTCGATCCCCGGCAACGGCGTTACTTTGTCCCTCTTATTGCAGTTTTTAGAAAGTTTCTCATATTATTATTTTAATATAGAATAATATAATTAACAAATGGATTACGAACGGGTCAACCCGGTGTTCATGCTGTGACCGGGTTCGATTCCACAGCGTTTCTTTTTTTTTTTTTTTTTTTTTTTTCCCTTTTAAAAAATTTTTTTTTTTTTTTTGACTTTATTTTTTTTTTTTTTTACTTTGTTGCCATTTAAGAAACTTTCGTTGTTTGGCTAGACTGAATTTTTTTTTAAAATGATTTCAGAATACAAAAGGAATTAAAAAAACAAGAAAAGTACTAATTTATCAATAATATATTCAGTGCTTCGAAATAGTAAATAATTTGTTTAACAAATAAGAAATTGCATCTAAAAATTATATTTGCCCGAACATACATCATCATGTGCGAAACACGTGAAATTTTGATGAATAAAAATCAACAAACTTGGTGAGATCGAGACCTAAAATTTTAATGCATTAAAGTCAACAAAATTAAGTTCGTGGGCCAAAACATTGACCGTTTAGGTTTCGAGGGGCCAATATCACAATAAAAAATGACTTTAGTTTGAGCCCTATTTTTTGAAAACTCATTTTCAATCGTATTTTTCCCATATAATATTTTTACACGTAAACCCAAAACTTTTTCCTATTTTATAACAACACAATCTCCAAAAAATTATTATTTCAAACCACATTTTCGCTAAAAATGAGGGCTTGATGCCTTTGCAATCATGCTATGTTAGGGTACAATCAGTCAAGCGATGGCAATGTGCAACAAATCATATGGTTATAGTTTTAACACTTCGTTTATTTTTCAAAGTTATGCTTTTATTAGTGTAATTTGTAACGAATAACGTAATTTTGATGTACTTAAAAAAACTCTTATTATATCTTTGTACAATTAATAGAGATCTACTACATAAAGTCTTATTTCAATTAAACTTTGATTCTTTTGAGAACACATCTCGTATCTTTTGTACTATAGAAATTTTTTTTTTTTTTTTTATTGTAAATCGAATAAGATTTTCTGAAGAGTAAACTTTTGTCCAAGTGGTTAAAGTTTTACAATGTTTACACTAATGGGGTGGCTGGCTCAAATCCAGTCCAGATGAAGAGGCCATGAGCTTGGCACCTTGTGCAGTTGCTGTTCACAGGTGATGAGAATTGGGCAGAATCCCAGTTGCCTCCGCGCTGTTCTGCTGTCTGATATTGCTAAGAGTTATGATGCTAAGCCAGAAATTGCCTTGTCCATTCCCAAGCGTTGCAACTTCGCCAATCTCCCCGTTGGCTACGAATGTGGATGTAAGCTAGCTACCATAAACAATATTTTAACTTCTTTTTTACGCTCAGTGTCGTCTAAATATTCGAATTCTGAATCTTAATTATTTTCTTTGCAGCTTGTAACATTGAACGGATCAAGAAACGTTGGAGTGGTCAGAAGTTAGGTAATAATCCAATAATTGTTGTTTTTAGTAGTGATTTCAGCACATAATAAAAGCAGCTGTAATTCTGTATCTTCTTAATAATTTATCAGATAGGAGGGAAAAAAAATTTGTCACTGTTCAGTAATTGCCTGGTTTTCATTTCATTTTATTTTTTTCTTTATAATTTTATAAAATTGAATGTCGGTAATGCATTTATGTTCAATCGATCATTGACTATGGACAGGCCCTCTAGAAGCTTGAATTAAGATATACTTTACTTAATTGGAGAGACCAAGACAGCTAGACAAAAGCCCATTTTTGTTGACTAATTGTTATATCCCCATTGGGATTTCCCACCCATATTCTCAACCTAACTAACCTCCCTTCTGTTCATCAGTGTTGAATAATCAACTTCCAATCCTTCTTTCACACTCCAGTTGCTTTACCTTGTACCCACTAATGACACAATAGAGTCGGTGTTTTTTCGGCCACAAAGGCTATGAAGAAGCAAGAAGAAAAATAGCTGAGAGAGAGCACAAAGCAAAAGAGGCTGAGAGTTTTCTTCCGAAGCCAAGAAACACACGTGAGAGATAGAAGATTAAGGGGCTAGTTTATATAGTTTAGGTTAGGTCAAAGTTGTGTGGGCCAAGTGCAATACGAATACCAGTAAGTGGGCTAACAAAATAAGCCGTCCAATGAGTGTGAAAGTCGGGTCATGAGCAACACTAATTAATTAGGTTGCTTCCAATGATTCAAATAATTTTAGGGTCGGATCCTCAATCTTGAGTGTCGATAATTAATTTATCCAATGTCAGTTTAATATCATCGTCCGGAATAATTGGGTATCAAAAACTCAACAATCAGGCCAGTTGTTGTCACCAATCTCTTAGCAAAATTTCATGTTGATTATCGAATTCACTTTTGTTTCATACATGGTCAAGACATGGAGTCGGATTTCTTTTTCTATCGGTCCTTTCAGCAGTATAACACAATCCTGACTCATGGATTTCTCGATTGAAAAATTAACAAAGAGAAAAAAAAAGGTAAAGAAAGATCCTACACATTCCTGTATATATATCTGTGTTAAATGAATGGAAAGATGTCTATCTATAATACATGTACACAGGCTATTGCAATTTCCATGGAAGACAGCGGAGCTTGGAGCAAGATCCAACCCAAGTATCTTTACATTCTCCTCCACCAGAAGAACCACCAACAGCTCCATCACAGCACTGACAAACCACTCCAAGAGTTGCAAAAATCTTCGAGTACTCTAAATGAACCCGTAAAATCATGAATTAGATGATGCTAAACAGTATTAAAGTAGAAAAGGAATTTAAAATATTACAGAAAACAAAAACAAGCAAAAGAGTGTGAATTTTTACTTTGTTGAGGTGGCAAGGGAAGTGGCCTAGCTTCTGCTCTTGTAGTTTCTCGAGATGCAAAACTTAATATAACAAAAATCATCCCAAAATATAGACAAGGCTTTAATAAACCCATGTCTGTCGGGCTCCAATTCGAAAGTTTAATGAAATTTGTAATGATCAATGTGGTGGGATGGTTGGCAGTTTCTTGTGTTTTTATATTATAGTGTAAGATTTGGTCTTTGTTTAACATATACTTAATGGAATGTTCCATTTGAATTGAAGCTCACAAATTTGGCCTTCTAGAAATGAATACGGACGTCGACTATTCCTTTATATTGGCAGCTTATACTTGTAAAATTATAGTAAAATAATGTTTTTTTGTGGGAACCACCTTCTATGTACAGATGTTGGATGTCCGTATACTCTTCTAGATTTTTCCATCTTTCAAACCCAACAATGCTATACATACGAATAGTTATACCATGTAGAAGCCCCCGGGGCATAGTCCAGTGGTGCAAAGGACATGAGTGAGTTATCTCACGCCTTGATGGCAACTACAGTGTGGGGGTTCGATTCCTAAGACATGGGATTGGACTCCTTATAGGCGCAGTGTACAGGCAGCTCTTGTTCCTTGACCTATTAGGGCACATCCCGAGATTTACCTCCCTCACAAAACTCTAGGGGAGAGGCGGGACGGGACGGTAAAAGTCCTCAAGATCAAGGTTCAACCTTTTTTTTTTTTTTTTAGTTATGCCATGTAGAAATATTTCATTAGGGTTTTGAAAAAATCAAAGTTAAATCAATCAATCAAGTGTTGTCATCTCAACACCTTTAAATTGTCCTGCACAATTTATCTGTACAAACAGCTTTATTTGTTTTAACCCAACTTCTCAAGTACAAAAGTTAAATTTGGAAAGCGATTTTGGCCTGCCAGGGAAACACAAACTTGCATTTATTAAAGAGAAAACCCAATTTATATGCAAGAATTCAGCCATTATACATAGTTCAGAAATTCATAATCCAAAAATCTATTCAACCACCAAGGAAAATTAGAGGTAAATGACGTATCTTCCTCAGAACAATTCTAAATAAAATCTGAGCCGCTGCCAAAATGCTCCAGATCTGGATGTGTCCCAGAACCAGGCCTCCTTGGGTTTCTGCAAAGAATTTATCATTAAAAACAAATTAAAAGAATAGAAAACAATGCAATAAAGCAACTCTCAAAGCGCGGCCCAACATAGACGAGGAAAAAAAGTTCATACTACCCAACCGAATTTATCACCAACCAGATGAGAGTAATTTTGAGAATAATAATTCCCGTAACTCAGTCAGTTGCTTAGAGGTCAGTGAAGTCTACCCCCGTCTTGAATGCCATCTTAAAGAACAATAATTTAGTGCTCTCTTTTGGGGGCATTATAAGAACCTCATGTTTCAGGGCTGGCCAATGTTCTAGATAAAGGCACCGAAGACCTTTATCTAGTATAACTGTCTTGTTCGATCAGATATTATTATGAACAAGAATACTAGATTTCAAGAATCCTGTAAAGAAATTGATTCTTATTGAATGATTAAAGAAGCTTCAAGGATGGAATTAAGATTACAAAACAAGTTCAGCAGCAAAAGTCACCAATTTGTACGAAGTAACATTGACAATACTGAATGATGAAGAAGCGGTCCTTACCAACAACAATTGTACATAATCACAGTAACGGATAATCCAGTAAAAACAGGTTCTCACAGAGCTTATAGAATTCGCACCAAGCTAAAAGTTAGAGTAATGCTAACACCTATCTAAGTGGGCATTAAATTACAAGTTTAATTAAATACAAGAAATTATGATATGCTGACACTTCAACACCACTGGTGTTAGATAACATTATTCTAAAAGTTCATATAGCACTTTGTGGCCGACATGTCTATTAAGTGGAAGTATTGGATGCTGAGCACGTCCACATCATATGATATCTACTACACACATCAATTTGAATTAGTGAAATTGAGAAAAGATCAAAAAGAGCATTTGGAAGCATGCAACACAATCAAGATGTGATAATTGCCCTGAAAGACAAGGGGGAAACTGGAAAGACACTAACAGTACGTAACAGAAACCTCCTGAATTCATACAGTGCCTGCCTAGAACTCATTGAACCAATAAAATTGTATTATACTCTTGACTGACAATACAAATTTATGAAGAAATCGAATATGTGACAGCATACCTAACAAAACGACCGGGCTCAAAACCTGGAACATCTGGGGGACCAAAAGGATCAAAACGGGCACCAGGTGGAACACCCCTGCATCAGTAGATTAATTGACATCCGGCAACACAACAAATTTTAGAAAATACTGAACACACACGAGAATGCAAGCAAGCACATATATACATAAATACTACACATACATAAATACTACAGAGAGAGAGAGAGAGAGAGCTCACGGTTGAACTCCAGGCAAACCAGGCACACCATCTCTATTTCCTCCAAAAAACCTGGGATCATGTGGCCCTGCATGCAACCATAAGAAATTACAAACCTAAGAAATTACAAACCTAATGAAGTGTTGCTGTTGTAATTGTTAATCATGTATGAAACAAGGCAACTTACGAACCTACGAGCATGCTTCCACCATCAAAATCACCCCTACCAAAAGTTAAAAATGAAATATAACAATCAACAACAAATACAATGACATAAATTAAAAACAATCATATTTATGAATCACAATATATGAAAGCTATGAAACCTTGTTGGATACATTCCAGCACCAGGCCCAGGAAAGAGATCACTGCTGCCAGAACCAGGAAGCGGAGGAACAATCACTCTATATATGCAGAGAGAGAAAAGAGAGGAAGATTAACCTCGAGATAGATGAGCATAACCATTAAATATATGAACAACGAGATGTTAACAATGATTTTCTTCAAAAAGGTTATGGATCAGTGTGAAAGTTATTCCAAAAGCATCAAAAAAGTGCAGCCAAAACTAATTAAAACTCAGGATACATTTCTTGCACAGTAGAGTTATATATATGTCTTGGCAGCAAAACATTCTATTTTGACGATGCGTCCCAACAAATGACTAGACAATAGTTAAAATCTACCAAGTTACAGACCAAAAGCATAAAATCCTAGCAACACATCCCGACCCTTATCATGCTCTGCAGTATCCTGACTTTTGACACCTTTAGATACCTAGAAATGATATGCCATCTACTTTCCCATTCTTCTCTTGAGAAGTCAATAAATTGCAGAGGCGGATCCAGGATGCAAAAACAAAATAGAAAATAAATATTTACAACGTATATCACATAGACTGCTTCGTACATCATCTTTAAAAAAATAAAATAAAATAAAATAAAATAAACAATTGAATATGAATTTGATTAACTACTATAAAAAATAGTTTATTCTAGTCAAACTAATGTTATATAGCTTCAGGCAACAGCAGATATTTATGAAAAAGACCAAGCTTTAATTATACAGCACTACATGCTTCTCTAAATCTCACCATACAAAAAGAAAAATGAAAGGACACAAATTTATACACACGTGGCTTATGAATCAAACAAAATTCATCATCATTATGCAATTAAAAAATACCCTGAAGGATGAGGAAAAACATAAGGATTGCTGGGGTCAGTAACTCCCATGCTAGATTGGTCTCTATCGTCTCTCAACCCATCATCAGAACTGCAAACAGAACTCCACAAATCAATATAAACAAGTAAAGTTGGAATATTGAATCCATTCACTAAAACCATCTGGAAATGTGCTATTGACTTGATATACTTTAGCACTTCCATTTATGTGAGCCAAAAAAACAAAATTTTAGTAAGCACATCCACGGTAGTCACAAAATGAATTCATTAGAATCAATTTAGAGCAATCAGTTACAATAATACAAATAAAACACCTTGATGGTTGAGCAGATGAACTTGCAGCCGAGCCATCTAGTTTAGCCAATATTTCTTTATTAACATCTGCTACCAGCTTCCTCAAATTCTTGAACTGCGAACTGTAATTTGCGGTAGCATTCTCTTCGGCATAGTCACTAACACTAAAAATAACCAAAAACAAGATTCCCATTACTCAAACAAAGTAAATTCAATAAAACAAAACAAAACAAAACATTTTTCCCTTCTAAGAGAGAACTCTGAACTTACTTGATTTCAAGATGGAGAGGCTCAGAATCGCCTGCTTTCAAAGCATCAACAAGTAATTTATCATTCATTACTAAACACTTCACCAGAACTTTCTGTGAACCCTTGTCGGGATTAGAATATACAAATGCATAATTATCTTCATCTTCGTTCCAATTCTCAAGTCCCACCTCATCTACCCATCAAAAAGATGAAGAGTTAACCAAATTCACATGTGCAAAAGCAAACAGTCCAAAGTGTAAGGAGAAAAATATGTAGAGAAAATAGCAAAATAACTAAAAGGTGTTATTTTTATTTTTCATATTGCTTACCGGTTGAGGCGGAGGAGAGGACGTCGTTTTCAAAGGCCGTGGGACCGGCTGAGTGAAGGATGTATCCGGCTGAGAGGAAACAAGAATGGACGGCAAACGCCACTTTATCGTGGCGATTCCGGAAAGTCGGTCGCGCCGCCCTAATCACCGCCATAACGGACTGCTCCGTCGCCATATGTGGTGCTTTGGTGGGAGAGGAGGGGGGTGGACAGGGTAGAGTATGGTAATCGAGTTGTGAACTGAAGATCTATGTCAGTTGCATTTCTTGAGAGATAATACGAGAAAAAGAAGACTTGTGGAAGACTCAACTGTTGATTAGTCCTAATTTTTTACCTCATTTCTAAATACAAAACTCACAATTTTTCCACTGTGTAAGCTGTAAATAGCTCTAAAAGCATATTGCAGTATATTTCCCCAACTCAAGGGATGTGTATATAGGTAGTTAGACACGTGTTATCAGCTGATAGGAAAATCTAGGATATTCTGTGTGTATGTAAAATGTATGTATTACAATTCTGTGAATAAATAGAGGAGAAAAGGAGGAGCTATAGTACCGAGAAAAATTTTCCAAAAATACAGAGTTTAGTGATATCTTTTAACTTGGTATCAGAGATTCTTATGGCTACCACCGATTCAGGTAAACAGTCTCCTCCAAGCGAGTCGAGCACTACAGCAGTTGTTCAGTCTCCTATAAACCACACTTCACCTTTTGGGATGAACATCATCCAGACTCCGACGGTGAAGCTGGACAGAGAAAATTATTTGTTATGGCAAAACATGGTTATGCCCATAATTAGAGGACATGATCTTGAAGGATACCTGCTGGGTACGAAACCATGTCAACCACAGCTTTTAGAAACTCAGATTGTTACTGAAAAAGGAGAAGCTACAGAGATGGTTCCAAATCCTGAGTACAGCAAATGGGTTTCAACTGATCAACTATTAATGGGATGGTTGTATTCATCCATGACCCCTGAAATTGCAATGAGAGTGAAGGGGTGCACCAGCTCTAGTAAATTATGGAGTGCAATCAAGGAAAGTTATGGGATAATGAATAGATCTAGAATCATTTTTCTCACTGGAGAGTTGCAAAGAACAAGAAAAAGATCCATGTCCATGGATCAGTACCTTACAATAATCAAACAACTGGCAGATAACTTACATATTGCTGGAAAAACCATAGACTCAGGTGATCTGATAACACAAGTTCTATCCGGATTGGATGAAGAATACACACCTAATGTGGTGCAACTAAATAGCAGGGAAGATATATCATGGCATGAACTCTCTTATGTTCTTTTAACCTTTGAAAGCAGGCTTGAATACCTCAATCATATTAAGAATAGTTTTGGGACAATGAGCATTTATCAGTCAGGAGTGCAAAGGACAGGATCTAGTGGTGGTAGAAACTTTAGACCAGACAGTAATGGAAGGTTTTCTAATTTCAAGGGAAGAACAAGAGGCAGAGGTAGAGCAAGAAGAATGAATGAAAATCGAGGACCCTGTCAAATCTGTGGGATGAATAATCATTCAGCTAGATGGTGTTTCAACAGATATGATGATAGGTATATGGGCAGCAAACTAGGTAACCAGAAGGCACAGAACAACTCACCTTCTGCGTATGTGGCTACACCAAGCACCGTGGAGGACCCAACATGGTTTGCAGACTCTGGAGTAAGCAACCATGTCACTGATGACAAAGGTAATTTGGATACTATAAGAAAACATGGAGGTAAGGAAAAATTGCTTGTTGGTAATGGGAATTCTTTGCATATTGCTAATGTTGGCAGAAAGAATTTTCTTACATTGAGTGATAAGACCCTTACATTGAATAAATTACTTCATGTGCTTGCAATTAAGAAGAATTTGATAAGTGTTTCTCAATTGACAAATGACAACAATGTGCTTATGGAATTTTATCCTAATTATTGTGTTGTTAAGGATTTGCAAACGAAGGAGGTCTTGTTGCAAGGGATGCTTAAAGATGGATTGTATCAGCTGAAACTACCAAACTCCACGCCTAGAGTCACCATCACAAAGTCAAGCTATCAAAATAATCCTAACCTTGCAGTCTTTTCAGTAAACTCAAGGGGTGAAGAGTCAAACAAAAGTGTCAAGTCCGAGTTAGATACCTGGCATAGAAGGCTAGGTTATCCCTCAAGTCCTGTATTGAGTCAAGTCCTTAAGTCTTGTAATAAAATAGTCAAAGTTAATGAAAGCCTAGATTTCTGTGAAGCTTGTTAATTTGGTAAATCTCATGCTTTGCCTTTTACCAAGTCTTCAACACATGCATCAAAACCATTAGATCTCATACATACCAATGTCTGGGGACCAGCACCAAAGATTTCTACCTCGGGGTTTAGGTACTATATCCTATTTGTTGATGACCATAGCAGGTTTACATGGATCTATCCAATGAAATACAAATCTGAAGCCTTAAATATCTTCACTCAATTCAAGAAACTAGTAGAAAACACTCTTGAAAGAAAGATTAAAATATTACAATCAGATTGGGGAGGTGAATTTAGAACCTTTGACAAGATTGCTTCAGAATCAGGCATTGAACTTAGATATTCCTGCCCTTACACCTCTGCACAAAACGGTAGAGCAGAAAGGAAGCATAGACATATCACCGAAACCGGTTTGACACTATTAGCCCAAGCACAAATGCCATTACATTATTGGTGGGAATCCTTTAAAACAGCAACCTACTTAATAAATAGACTACCTGCTCCTATACTTCAAAATAAATCCCCTTTTCAAATCCTATATGGAAGAAACTTGGATCATAATAAACTAAAAATCTTTGGTTGTGCTTCTTATCCATGTCTAAGACCGTACCAAAACCACAAATTCAATTTTCATTCTCAAAAGTGTATATTCCTTGGCTATAGTGATTCACATAAAGGATATAAGTGCCTAAGCTCGACTGGTAGAATGTATGTCTCAAGAAATGTGGTGTTTAATGAAAAAGAATTTCCCTTCAAGACTAGATTCCTAAACACCCATACTCAGGAAAAATGCTCAGAAATTGTTGTCAGCCCTCTTCCCTATGATATCGAGTCAAGCCAGCAAATAACCTCTCAAAATGCAGTTGACACAATCCATCCTAATGTAACACTTGTTGAAGACTCCAACAGAAGTGTGGAACATGAAACTCGGACTGTGATAAATGAAAATGAAAGCGGTACTGATATGAACCAAGTGACTTCTATAGAGCTTGATTAGGTCGTTGATCAGCAAGAGGGTGCTAATGGTGATGATCAGAATGTAATGTAAACTGCTGGGCATTATATGATCACAAGGAGTAAGGCTGGAATCTACAAACCAAAGGTGTATATAAATCAAATTCAGGACAAGATGGTTGAAGTTGAGCCACAGAATACTGATGAAGTTCTATTAAGTAATAAATGGAGAAGAGCTATGCAAGAAGAGTATGATGCCTTGATGAAGAATAGCACATGGAAATTGGTGCCACCAAAATCAGAAATGAAAATAATTGGAAACAAATGGGTTTATAAACTGAAATATGACTCAGAAGGCAAGGTAAAAAGGTATAAAGCAAGGCTAGTTGCAAAAGGCTTCCTACAAACACCTGGAGTGGACTTTAGTGAAACCTTTAGTCCAATTATCAAGGCATCAACACTGAAAATTATATTAACTCTTGCTGTGTCGAGAGACTGGCAAATCAGGCAAGTTGATGTAAATGATGCCTTTCTAAATGGTAAGTTAGAAGAAACTGTGTACATGAAGCAACCACAAGGTTTTGAGGATCAGAAAAATCCTGATTTTGTATGCAAATTGAAAAAGGCTCTTTATGGGCTTCGACAAGCACCGAGAGCTTGGCATGATAAGTTGAAGGAGACTTTGTTTGAGTAGAACTTCAGACAATCCAAGGCAAATAATTCATTGTTTTTCTCAATGAATGAAGGCATTATCATCTTTGCATTGGTTTATGTAGATGATATAGTGATAACAGGAAACAATGGTCAACAATTGCAAAAGTTTATTGATAAACTAGATGCTTGTTTTGCTCTTAAAGACATGGGTAATCTCAATCAATTCTTGGGTATTGAAGTCTACAGAGATGTCACAGGACTTTACCTAACTCAGACAAAATATATGGTTGACTTACTGAAGAAATTTGACTATGAAAACTTGAAACCAGTCCCAACTCCTATGGCAGTAGGTAAACTGATATCTAAGGATGAATGACAAGCCATGAGTGATCCTACTCTCTACAGGAGTGCAGTTGGTGGTCTTCAATATCTTGCACACACAAGACCTGACATTGCCTATTCTGTAAACAAAATGAGTCAATTTCTTCAAGCCCCCACAGATGCTCATTGGAAGGCCCTCAAGAGAATTTTTAGATACTTAAAGGTTACACTAACACATGGTTTAGTTATCCAGAAAAATGACAGTTTCGACATCACAGCATTTGCAGATTCAGATTGGGCATCATGTCCTGATGATAGAAGGTCTACAACTGGCTATTGTGTGTATCTTGGAGATAGTTTGGTTTATTGGTGCTCTAAGAAACAGCATGTTATTGCAAGGTCTAGCACAGAGGCAGAGTATAGAGCGTTGGCTCACAGTGCATCAGAAATAGCTTGGATTCAGTCCCTAATGAAAGAGCTAAATATACCACACAACGCAATCCCTAAAATTTGGTGTGACAACTTGGGTGCAAGTGCACTAGCATCAAATCCAGTATATCATGCCCGTACCAAACACATAGAATTGGATGTCCACTTTGTGAGAGACAAAGTTTTCAAGAAGGAGCTGGAAGTGCAGTTTGTCCCATCCTCATATCAAACTGTAGTTATTTTAACAAAACCTCTTTCTCATTCAAGGTTCATATTCTTTAGGGACAAACTTGGAGTGGTTAAGACACACTCCATCTTGAGAGGGGATGTAAGGATTGATCAAAAAGCTTGAATATTTCCACTTTGTAAGCTGTTAAAGCTATTAATAGCTCAACAGCATATTGCAGTATATTTCCCCAATTCAAGGGATGTGTATATAGGTCGTTAGACACGTGTTATCAGCTGATAGGAAAATCTGAAATATTCTGTGTGTATGTAAAATGTATGTATTACAATTCTGTGAATAAATAGAGGAGAAAAGGAGAAGCTATAGCACCAAGAAAATTTTTCCAAAAATACAGAGTTTAGTGATATCTTTTAACTATAATAAAGGTGATCCACCATCCGAGCCTAGCTTGAGAGACGAGTTCTCTGGTGTGGATCGGAAAGTTCTTGCCAAAATCGATCCCCACGTGATCTAATTGAAAGCGGATATGGACTATTTCCAAGAAAGTAATTTCACATGTAGACTCCAGATATTTAATAAAATTGTTACGATATGTTTTCGATGAAAGAAAATAACTTAATTGATCATCGAAGGTCTCATCAACCTATAGGGATGCACAAGATATAGTAAAACGAAAAGCCTCACCAAGTTATTCTGAAGTCAATCTTTCTTCCAAGAAAAAAATAAAATTCGATCCATATGGTCAGATAACGTTAGAAGTAAATCCTTGATTCGCGAGGTAGCATGATCAATAGATAGGGAAAGAGCGAACTTCCTTCTTAAACTACGAACTAATTTGGATTCGAATTTTTTCCTTTGAAATGGCACCAACTTCGCCCTAGAAACAATAAGTGGAAAGTTCCTTTAGTTGGATTTTACAAAATGTGAACAATTTTGCCAGCATTCCTTTCGGGTTTTATCTACAAAACGGGAGAAGTTCTCCAAGGAAAAGAGAACTGGACTTTCAATTTAAGGGAACACGATATCTGCTATGTTTACCAATAAATTACTATGCATTTTCTTAAAATGTTATATTAAAAAGGGTTTTAGACAAATATTCTTTTTATTATCACAATATTTGACAGAAATTCTAGTGTACTGCCAAGCACCCGTCAAGAATGGAAAATTGTTTAAAAGTTTATGCTCCTTAAAGATTTAAAAATAGTAATAATAATAATAATAATGTATAAATATAAAATTCATTATTTGGAAATTCTTATTAATCGACAAATTATTGTAAATTAACAGAGCTCAGAGCTCATATAAGAGGCCTATGTTAAAGGGTGTTTGGTTTGGATTAAAATTATATTTCTAGTAAATTTTGATAGAAATTTTTGAAATGTATAATTAAAAAGTTGTTAAATCTATGGAAAATATGATTAATATTGATTGTTTAACTTTGACTCAGATCAAAATCTAAGCCAAACAGAGGCTAAGTTAAATTGAACAGCTAATCTTGTAGTATCATAAAGTTCACTCGGTAAATAGCATTACAACTCGCAAAATAAGTTCTCTCATTTTTAAGTGCCGTAGTAAGTATACATGGAACACGACATAAGTAAGTGAAAAAACCCAACCAAACAGAGAAATTATCCCCTGATTTGGAACTCAAGCTCAGTCAAAGCCTCAATGTTCATCCAGAGGCCCATCACACTGGAAAAGGCTTCTCATATTTAGATCAAAAGCTTCTCGATGGCATCCTGCATTTCACAAGATAAAATTTTAATAAAATTGTTAGTAATTTGTGGAAATTGGTGAACTTGTAAGAACTGTAAAACCATTCACAAATTACCTTCAACAGTTGAATTTGAGATTTCAACTGGCTTCCCTCATTGCTTGTCACAGAACAAGCAATTACAGGTCTCGTAACTCCGCATGCACGACCAAGAGCTTGCTTGGATGGGATAAAAACATAAGGCACATTCTGCAATTTACACCCAAAAGCTTAGCTGTTTTGAGACATTGAAAAATGACTTTCAAATTTTCCCAATTTGACCAACAGAGTAATAAGTGAGTAATACTTCAGAAGCAATAATCAATTATGTGTTTAGAAGTCGGAGAAGTACAAGACGATGGAATAGGCAAATTAAGAAGTTCAATAACACCACTTAATCCACATACACCCAGTACAGTCTCACAAATTTAAAGAAAGGGTAAAATCATAATGGTGCTTCCGGTTTTAGTATAATGTCAGCCTGATACTTCAAGCAATAGAAACAGAAGGCAACAATTTTGCTGAATTCCAGTACATCTGCCACATGCAATGTTAGATTAAAAGTTATAGACCATTAAATAATATACAATATAGAGCATGAAGTAGATGCACAGAAAATGAAGAGGCATGACAAAAAGTAGGTGATAGCCATTTATACTTCCCCACATACTAAAACTGGGAATACCCCAAGTTTTACTACATGAGAATAACAAGTGAAACATGATGAGGTGAAATTGGAAAGGAGAAAGTTTCTCAAGATTGCTGTTTCCATAGCATGTATGACTCAAGCATCCGTCACTAGACTCACTACAGAAAGCAGTATACATTCATTGATAGAATTTTGCGATGGGCCTCACTACCAAAAAAAAGGATGAAAAGCTTCAAATTAATATACAAATCTACTATTTACCATTTAGGGTAAAATGGAAAACAGAAATTGTGAGCATGACCATATGCAAGCATCTTATGTAATTTCAAAAAGGCTTTTGCCCATCAATAAGAATACGACAACTGAAAAGAAATTACAAGACCTAGCAAAATAAAAACAAAACAGAAAGAGAGCCAGTGGAACATTATCACTTCGATACATTCATAACAAAGATGAAAGCACAATAAATTTGGAGCATCAGAATTATAAATAAATAGTGCATGAAATCATCAAGCAGTCTGAAACATCAGCTGTAACAAATATTAAACACATGCATTTCCAATTCACAAAAAAATAAATAAATAAATAAATGAAAAATGAAAAAATAAAATATATTGCTTCTAAAAGAATATGGGAACCTTTACAAAAACTATAACTGTGGCAAGTAGATATCAAAATGAGGCTAACTATAGTTGCTTTCGTAATATTGAAATGAGCAAAGACAATAACCTACAATGGCCTCTCATACTTAGATTTAAATCATTCAAATACCTTCAAGATACTGCATTATACCTTAACTGAAAGCAGTCTACTTTTTTCCCCCCATGAATCAAACTAATGCAATCCCTAACTACTGTCAATAATTCTGTTCTTTCTCATTAATCAATTGGCAGTTCCACGTTTTAGCAAATCTAACATCCCAAACTCATAATATTCTAATAACATAACACACACTGCTGTACAGCATATATCTTATCAATTTCATCAAGCCTTATTCTTAAGTAGAAGTTCATAACAATTCTTACTCCACCTTGATACTACATTCTAATGCATATATTATTACATAGAAAGAAACTTTCTTCCTTAAAATGTATCATACGCTAGTTCCAAGCAATTCCATCAAGCTTTTATCTGATAACAGAACACATTAATTTTCAACAATCCCGTGGAGCACATACTATCAGAACCAACATTTACAAGTAAAGAATTACCTTATCCTCAGCGAGAAGTGGAAGGTGAAGAAGGATTTCAAGAGGCTCAGTGTCGGCAGCCATGACAATGAACTCGGAAATACCTCTGTTCAGTGTCTTAGTTGCTGCAATACACCAGGGATTAAAACTAAAGTGTTGATATCATCAATTTCTTGATCAGTTCGAGAATACTACTATCAAAATCTCATGATATTGGCAGGTTATTTATCAACAAATTTCTATGCATCTTTTGACAAAAACGAAAATAATTTTTTTTATATATTTTTTAATAATAAGTATTTTTGCAACTCACTAAATGTAAAATAATTATGAGTTCCTTTGAGAGTGGTTATATTGCTTCAACAATTTTGATTCGATACATTACATTTTAATTGCAGTTAAATTATTCAATCTTTACTCATTGTAACAATTATTTTCTTAATTTTTTTCCGTCGAATTCTTATCTTAAACATTCCATTAATTGGTACGTCTTGTCTTTAATGATAATTTATATTAAATTTTTTTGTTTTCATAATTTGAATTAAGGAAGAAAAATATTTTACTCCATTTCAACTGATATTTGGACATAAAACTAGTATTAAATAAAATGTGTAAATTAATGGAAAGTGTGAGAATAATAACAACATAAAAAATCATTAGGAACATAAATATTATAATATGAAAAAATTAAGAACCTTGACTATAATTAAAATGTGATGTAAAAAATAAAAATTGTGGAGTAAATATAATTACCTTTCTTAAAACCTTCTTTCATATGTCAAATTATCGATTTAACCTTATAAATATCAAATCCCGCCACTTGAAAACGTGTATTTTTAACTCGACTTAATGGCTTCTATTTACCTCAAAAAATGTGCCAATAGAATTTTGACCTCGTCCCCTCTACCTAGACATCACATGCATATTGAACACCTCATTAAGAGACAAAGACTGTCGATCAAGAATAATGTTTGGTGATCGTTTGCTCTCTGATGGTTAAGTTAACAGCTGGACGAGAGAAAAGAGTGCAAAAGACGGGAGAGGGGGTTCGGTTATTGTTAGAAAATATAAATGAAACTCACATATATATAGGAAAATGTAAGGTTGCTAATGGGTTGAGTTCCAAACCCAAGACAATGTTTCTTGATTTAATAGGCCCAATCCAAATAAATAGTCGATGTCACGTGCATGCCATGTAATTTATGGATATAACAATTGTACCCCAAATCTATGTATGGATATTCATATAATGTGTGGACTTTTGAATGAGGACGATGCTTCGAGGATAAATAGATGATGAAGCTAATGCAAAGATGAGATTCTAGATATAAGCAATTAAGGCAATGCTCTGGACATCAATTGCTGCGATAAGCTAACATCCTTATATAGGGATGCGCGCATCCATGTCAAGGGCTTCCTCCATGATGTTTAGTCCAGCAATGGAAGGAATTAACTTCTAAGGTAGCAAGGCGTGGCTTCTTGTGGGAGGCATCACACTTATCCTTGTCAAGGCTGTTTTACTTGCAAGGGGATGGCTCTTCAGTGCAAGGACATTTTCCATAGTGTTTGATCTAGTCATGAAAGGCTTTTGTCTTCGTAGATATTAAGGTGGACTTACTCCTCTCCTTATGAAACGGTAAATGACATCCTTTCACGGTGGATGTTCATCTATGTCAAGGACTTCTTGCATGGTGGATAATTCATCCATGCATTAGGGTATAATTTAAAGTCTTTGAAGATAAGTAAATGGATATAGTTGAAGCAGAAGCAAAACTTTTTTGAAAAATAAGCAACTGTAATGTAGTCGATGTAGAGGTACGATGAGCTTTCTGAAAATAAATACAACGGGTTATAGCTAATACAGAGGCACTATGAGTTCTCTACCGCAGTCCCATATGGTAAGGCATCACAAAGATCGAAGAATAAATTTTGAGCTGATGGCTTGTTTCAAACTTTGCTATATTACTATTCGTTACTCCCAAAATTGACCCTCTTTTATATTGGAGGCTTATGCCCACAGCCCTCCCACGCTTATATAACTATCTTCAACTGACTTGACCATTGGAGTGCGTACGGCCAACTTTACTCCATTGGAGAAGGCCACGTGTGACTAACGATTTGTCTAAGCATGCAGGAACCCTACTCGCGTGGACGTGAAAGGTCTTGAGATCCATTGACCATGATGGAGATACATTTTTCGAGGTCAACAGTATCAATAAGCACAAATTGTGCTTACTTTACTTTCGAATCTTAATTAAATATTTTTTTGATACCTTTATTAAATATTTATTTGTTTTGACATGGAAATATAAAAAGTAACACAACTTGTTTATCTCATTTTCCCACATAGAATTTTTATGGCCCCAACATTAAGCCTTGTTTAAGCATCATATTTCGAGAATGGACTTCTAGGAGAATATATGATTAAAAAGTATAAAAAATTTAAATTTAAGTGCAAAATTATTTTTTTATTTGTAAAATATATGATTGAATATGAGTTTTTTTTCCCTTTTTTTTTAATGAGTTTTAAATAATGAGGCACAAACATAAACTAAAATTTATCACGTATATGTAGCCCCTAGCAACTTTTTGAGGCAAGTTCGTATTTTGTCCATTTTCCAAGCTAGAGAAAATTTCATAAAAAATGAATGAGACTGTATAATATGTTTACACTAAGCCCCCAATTTGAGCTCCATTATAATTAGATTTTTTGGAAAATGTATTTTGTAAGAGTGGTTTTTTAAAAATGAGTGATTATAAAAGAATGAAAAATTTTGAATTTATGTGTAATATTATTTTATTGGAAAATGTATGATTAAAAAGAATAGAGGAAAAAATGTATTATCAAATTAATGGAACCCAAACAAGAGCTAAATTTCATGTGAAATTACATTACATGATATAGATTTTACTGTCATGAGAATATTACGAGTTAGACTAAGGGTCTGTTTGTGCCTCTTTAATTTTAAAAAGAATATTATGGAATAGTGATTGATGTTGAAATGTGTTGTTAAAAAAGAAAGAATTATTTATTTATTTATGTGGAATATTATTTTAATGAAGAATGTGTATTTGAAAATGAGTACTTTAGAAAAAAATAATATGGTAGAATGGTCGACAAATAAAGGATAATTTTCTATACACATAACATTAGTAGAATTGTGTGTAAGACTTTTTCTAACCTGAACTGCACCGTACCATTAGCATGTTTGACCCAACTTAACCCCCATCTTATGGTCATTTTTTGCAAAAGATAATCTTTTGAATGGTAAATTTTGGAAAAATGTTTAATTAAAAGTAAGGGAAAGTTTTTAATTTATGTGAATAGTATTTTATTGCGTCAATGTGAGATAAGATCCGTCGTCCAATTTTTATCGTCTAATTTGCTGTCAACTAATTAAATATTGGCACCTCATTTTACATTAAAATGTCACATATATTTAAGTGTAAGGAGTAGTTAGAGAAAAGTTGGAAATGTTAATTTAACATGAGGTTTCAATAATTTATTGGATGGACAACAAAATGGATAGTAAAAATTGAACAGCAAATCTCAACTCGTTAATTTGTGGTTGAAAATGATTGTGTAGAAAAAGATTTGTGAAAAAAAAAAACCCCATCAAACAAGGGCTGATGCCAATTATTGTGTAAAAATAATGGTTTGAATGGTAAATTTTTCGAAAATGTTTGGTAAAAAAGAAAGAATTTTTTTAGTTTAATGCAAAATATTTTATTGTATAACATAACATGTTACCTATATAAAGCACAAGCTTTCAATAAAAAATAACATATGATAACACGTTATCTTCATGAAGTTAGTTGCGGATCTAAGAATGTTGGTGAGCTAAGGTGGCCGTTGATCGTTAACTATCGACCATCAACGACTGTAATACCTAACAACTTCCGTGCTCGACTAGAAGTAGTGGCAATATTAGATGCCCCACTGGAAGAACTAGGTTGGGACTTTCATTTTTGTTGAAAAAATCGTTCCATAATCTCTGTATGAAAATTAAATATAAATTACGAATTAAACTTAATTTTATACTATCACCAATTTTCAATTTCCAGCACCAACGAGATAATAATTTTGATTTCCAAATCACAAAGCATCATTACAATTTGAATAAATCATAGGTTTCAAATTATAATTTATCACAAATCACGAAATTTTAAAGTTTTCGTAAACAATCATTCATCACAATTCACAATATCAAATCACCAATCAAATGATCAATATATGTAAAATATCACTTCAAGTTCTAAAGCAAATGAAGGATTTACCTTACAAATTTGAAGTTATTGCTTCACCAACTAATATCCAATTGACAATCTTTTATTTTATACAAAATACAAAGTTAAGCGATAGCAAAAGCAAAAAAGGAGAAATAAAGGAAGGAAAGGGAAAGAAAAGAAAAGCTCGAGTTTCATTCTTCCATCTCAAGCTTAAGAAAAAAGGGAAAAAATAGGGCAAATTGAGTGGGATCGATTTGCTCAACTTGTAAATTTTGGAGTGCAGGCTCCATCGGTAGGGATGGATATGGTTCCATTTGGTTTTGGTTTCGAAAGAATCAAACTGAACGTGAACCAATGATTTTTTAATAATGCAATCAAATGATTTTTCTAAGATATGGAATCAAATTGGAATGGAACTATTCGTTCCTGATTTGATTTGGTTTGGTTCTACGTACGTTATTGAAAAAAGAGAAAGAACATTTGAGGAAGAAAGACCAAAGGTTGAGGCTTCAATTTCAAAAATCAATGGGCTATAGTTGCTGAGCGCGACGGTAGACGACAAGCGACATCCTGTTGGTATCCATGTGAGAGTTGATATATAAACTAAAAATGAATTATGTTCCGAGTCTCCAAAATGTAGTAGGGTCTCCAATTTCCACAATGAGAAACGAGAAATGAAAGGTAACATGATCTTTTTGTTCTGATTTTCAATTGAATTTTAAAATTTTTGGTATGAATTGTAATTCACTATTTTGTAATTATATATGCCGAAACCAGAACTAAATGGATCTTAGTTCTATGAATCAAAACCATTAATTATTTTTGTAGAGTTGAATCGAATTGCTCGATTTAATTTGATTCTAATTTGACTTGTTTCGATTTAGTCATTTTGTCCACCCCTATTCACTAGTTCGGGAATTGATGAGGATTTTTAACAAAAAGTAACATCATAAAGTCCATGTTATCTCGTGCAAAATATTTATACTTAATATAAAGTAAGATACGGAGCTTGTTTGAGCCCTATTGTCTCAAGAAAATGTATTTTGATGGAGAATATGTAGTTTAAAAATAAGATTTTTTTTTGAGTTTACGTGTTATATTATTTTATTAAAAAATGTGTTATTAAAAATAAGAGAGAAAAATATATTTTGAAAATAATGAGAACGAAAAATGGAATGATTACATAACAGGTTACAATGTATAGTATTGTTTTCAAATAAGAAGGTGAATATTGGCTTTAAATGAAAAGGAGGTATTTTTGAAAGAAAAAAATTAAAACGAGATCGACTGAAAGTATTTAAAGGGTGTTTGGTGAAGATTAAAATTAAGTTTTTTAATAGATTGTGATAAAAGTTTTTGAAATGTGTAGTTAAAAAGTTGTGAGACCAATGAAAGATGTGGTTAATATTGATTGTTTAACTTTGATTTAGATTAAAATTAGATTTTAATCACCAAACAAGCTCTTAATTTTCAATAAAATTGTACCTTATGAGAAAAAATCACCGAAGTGGTAATTACAGAAAACTCTGAAGTTAAAATCTAGGGTTCAAAAATTAGATGAGTAGTTTAACGTTTCAAAAGTTAGATCTTTTATATTTAAATATTAAATATTAATTATATAAATTTCATTCCACCAACCCTTATCAATTTATTCTCTCTCATCCCACTCGTCTGGCTATCTCCATCTTCTCTCTCTCCAATTTCTTCTCGTTGAGAAGCATATGCTTTGATAGTTCAATAATTAATTAATCAGTTTTCTATGCTTCAAGCTCTGTATTATCTATTACTTTTTCTCCTCTCTTCACCAATTGCTGCCTTTCCCAAAGGCCACAAGGGAGAAGCCGTGAATCGTCGGCCAGATAAAGCATATTGTTGTCACCTTCTCTTCACTTTTCTCTCTTTCGAGCTTTGCTTGCAGTGGCGGCTTCGCTTTGAGCTCCATTTCACAGTGGTTGTTTTTTTTTTCTTTTTCTTTTTTGCAAATGGTTGTTTGACGGTGGCTTTAGCGATGGGTGGTGTTTGATGGCAAGGTGCGATGGTTGATGGCAGTTGCGGTACGATTGTGGCTTGTGGTGATGGTGGTGGATCTGTGGTGTGTTGCGGTTTGATGAACAGGGAGGAGGTAGGGTGGTGTGATGTTGGTAGTGATCGCGTCGTGATGTTGGTGGTGGTCGTGGCGTGACGTTGGTGGTGGTCACAAGTATTGGTGGCGGTCTGCGCTGGTTGACGGTGACGATTATGGTTGTGGATGGTGGTTTGCATGTGGGATGACATAGGTCGGGTGATGAGATTTCGTGGTTTGTTTTTCATTGTTATGGTGATTGGTCTCTGTTAATGTGGTGGTGGTTTGTGTTACAATGGTGAGGGGTGGTCGGTGGTGCTGTGCTTGTTGTGGTGGTGGTCACAGATTATTTGGTTGATTGTGACCATTAAATTGATTAATATGTGATCAATAAACAACATGTGACTGATGAAAAAGATAAATTGTGACTAATGTGACTTAAAAATATATTAATTTGTGACTGTCTACTAAACTGTGACCTATAATATTTGTGTGTGATCGATACATAAATTGTGACGTATTACTTTTTGATTTGTGACCATTGAACAAATTGTGACTTATAAAATTTTTGAATTGCAATCCTAAAATAATTTGTAGCATTTAAAGTGATCGACAAATAATATGTGACTAATTAAATTGTGAATATGTGACTAAATTTTATAGATATGTGACCATAATATATTTAATTAATTAATTAATTAATAATTTATTAAATAATTTAAATCATAAATTTTAGGGAGTTTGTTCACATGTGGAAACTAGATGCTAGATTTTAGGGATTGAATTGCGACGAAATCCTCTCTCTCTCTCTCTCTCTGGATTTTGTGAGTTTTGAAATCACAAACTTGTTACCTTAAAACTGAAAAATAGCATTGCTAATCTCTGGATTAAGAAATTTTCCCATCGCAAAATGTGTGGCTGTGATGCCCAAGGCCTGGGGCCCATTCTTAAAAAAAATGAAGCCCGAAATATTACCTACTACCACAGTGAGCACTTCACGGACAGGCGTTCTTCCGTCTTCTTCACACACTCCACAATCCTCACTTCTAATCTCCTGCTTCTGAACAATTCTCAAGGTTTTCCTTGATATAGAGGCCCAAAAATCCAAAAATGTCAATATTCCAAATGTTTATATCAATTCCCACACCCTTACAGACCCTCTCTTCATCAAGAACTCTTTCCGGCGGCTCGAGCGCTGCACAAGTATTCTTTAACAAAAGATTTCCACATCATTCTCTTACTAACTCCAGCAATATTCCCTGGCAAGCGACGACGATTCGAATGGGTGGTGGGCCTAGGACATACCCAGGAGGGGTTTCGAAGTGGCAATGGAAGAGGATGCAGGCCAAAAAAGCGAAGCAGCTTCTCAAGGCCCGGTTGGCACGAGAACGACAAATCTATGAGATGCGAAAGCGGGCCGAGCTTAAGGCTGCGGTATCTGAACTAGAGAGGCCATGGGAGGTTGTTGAGAAGGCTCCTACTTTGTTTTCTGTGAGTACTGACGAGCAGTTGAAAGTCTTGGCTGACCGGTTCCAGAAACCTGGTGGGTTGGACTTGTGGTCAGAAAGAGATGGACCGGAATTGTTCAGACCTGATAATGGGATGCCCACCGCAAGGTTTTTCCCTAAGGGCGTTGTTCATAGCATCAAGCCCTATGGGAAAATTGAGAAACCTAGCGATAGCTCGGGCAATGAAAGTGATGGGGAAATGGGTTTGGAAAGAAAAGGTTCTAATAGGAATGCAAGAAAAAAGAGACTTGGATTGGATAACAAAGGCAATTGGGATGATTTTACAGAAGAGAGTTTTAAGGATATGTCAAATGAAGGTAACAGTGAAACTTTTCCAAACAGAAGGTTTGGGAAGAAGAGAAATAGGATTAAGTATTCAAGTGACGCAGAGGGGTCGGGTGCGAGGGAAAATGGAGTTCACAGTAGAGCTGGAGAGCGTAGGAGGGGCAATGGCTATGAGAAGAGTAAAGATTCTGAAGTGTATGACATGAATCTACAAAATGATGGGAGTTATGGGTTATGAATGGGAGAGTTAAGGATGTGAAGTAGTTTTGTGCAAAGTGTGCAGTGGGAATTCTGGGAATATAGCTTGAGCTTGAGCATGATCATATAATGGATGTATTTAGCTAAGAAAGATGTTTTGAAGGGAGTGTATTTCAGTATAGTTGTATATTTTAGGCGCAAATGTTCTGAAAAAAGATATATGACACGGTCTTGGTCGTTGTCATTTGTATCAAATGAGAGCTAAGGATTTGGAAGATTGTAAGGTAATTTACATACTAACCATTTTGTTTCCTCACTAAGTATTAATATATGTGCTTGTTTACTGGGCGTCTGGCTTGTAAATTGTACAATTAGAACTGGCTTTCGAGTTCCACTATCTGCATAATAAGTTCTGATAGAATATTTAACACTGTCAAATGCCCTTTTTTTAATTGACAGTTCATGTGTTCTACAATCAGTGTTAGAACTTTAATGTAACTCTAGGGGGACTTTAAATCAAATAATCCCAAAATTGTGGTGGCGATGCGAAATTTATGGAGAATAAGGCTCAGTTTTTTGTTGTTACTGTTGTTTAGGTGGAACAATCTTGGTTACATCCTTCAAGTTTATTAGCTTTATGATGATTTAACCAGAATGTGAATTGATTACTCCCCTGAACTTCCAGAGGAAACTTGATCTCAACTTAAATGATCCCAATTATCAGGTTTCTTTTGGCAGAACAAGCCTGGTTATGTTTTACACTTTTAACAGTTAGCTAGAGTTCTTCCAACTGATAGTTTGTTGACAGCTTAGCACAAGCCACTGTCTGCGTGATACGAAGCTCTGAAGTAGAAAACCAAATAAAAGTGAATTAATTTGCTCTAGGAAATATGCGAGGGAAAAAGAGTATAACTTATGCGAATATTTTACAGATCCAACTCCAGTATGGAGACGCTGAAATTCTGTGAAACTTGACTAGAAAAATTTGTAGTGGTTCATCAGAAAGAAGAAAACAGAAACATGCACATATTCCAGAAGGAAGCTTTGGTGCTCGAACCTTGAATAGTTCCATTTCAGGTAATTTTCCCTACTGGGATTGTGCATATTAACAGGTGAAAGTTTTTACGACGTCCATCAATATTTTTAGCATGTTTGGTTAAGATTATAAGTAGCTTTTTGGGGGTGTATTTGGGTACTAGTCTTGACATTGCCTGGTTGAACCTTAACGTAAAGGTTCCAGTTATTTGCACCAGTTTCAACAAAACAAGGAAACACATCACTCAATGCCTAGTTGATCAATTATGACAATTCAATTTATGAAGTGGTTTCCTAGAAAATTAATTTCACTTGTATATGATAGCATTCTTGGATTCCTATATTCAGTCTCATGTTTACAGGAAAGATTAATCTTGGACTACTTGTGTAACAGTAGTGAAAAGTTGAACACTAGTAATTTGTCTTGAAGGTATTGCCACTGAAGCCTATATAGCATAATTTTCCTATAATACTATTACTCACGAATCACATTGGATGATGGACAAGTAATTGATATATAGCCCATGATAGACTAGCCGCCCATCGAAAAGGGTCCACTCTCTTGATTCATCAAGTCAATATTCCAGACTTGCCTCAGTCCTGGGCATGGATTGGAAATGAAGCAATTGTAGCTTTGCACTGTTAAAATATATTACTGGCTTAGTCTTGGGTCAAGCAAAAGCCACGTCATTCAAGATTGCTTTAATGGTGCTGTATTGTCTAGTTGGCCAAGCAACAATGGAAGATTTGGGTTCAAATTCAAGATCCGTTGAAGGAAATTGAGACTATTCGAGGTCTGTCAAAGGTGTTGAAAAGTGCAACATTTTCCTGGTTAGAAAACGGGACTTCAATGGATTTTTGTTGGCAAACCTGAACCTCGATGATATAGCCAGGATCACCTCTGGGGCCTCTTAAAGCTAACAAATGCCACAAAACAAGCCATTCCCACTTTCCAACATTTATCTTATATGCTATGACTATATTCAAAATGACAGAAGTAACATACATTTGTATAATTGTATTACGCTGTATACTCTCTTTTATTCTTAAATTAAATACACCACTCTTTTTTTACATGTAAAAGCACCCAAAGCTATTTAGGTTTCTCAACACTCTTAAAAATAGGTTTCTTTATTTAGGTTTAATTAATTTTCATTTTTTCTCTCTTTTTGAAATGGACTCCTAAGGGGTTAGACGTGGGCCTTGGCCCGTTAACTATTTGGGCTTCCCTGTGTGACGTACAATTTCACTCATGGTCATTGTAATTTATACTTAGTGTCAGTGATCAGAACAATATAATACAGAAATATAAAACTTATCGTCCGACCGAGTCTCGTGACAGCACGATATCTTAAAGTGAAATTGCCCGTCAATAATTGCTGCGACCTCCATGGACAATCACTCATAGGATACAACGATCGTAAACCACTTGTGCAGCAATCAAGAATGATTTTTTTAGAACTCTCAATTGTACTTCAAAATAAATGTAAAATCCCGAATATAAAAAATTCAGAATATGAAAATGAGGATTGATGCAAGATGATTTTTCTATTTTTTTTTTATTGTGTGTATTTTTTCCAAAGCGAGATATGAGTTTATATAGGCAAGATGAAAGTAACAATCTTCACCATGTTAATTCAGAATTTTAATGACTGAGTAGTAAGTGTTTTAATGGCTGTTAGTGGGTTGTTACAAAAACAAACAGTCAGAAAATATTGGTTAGTTTTACCCATTAAATGATAAAAAAAATCATTTATTTTAGTCAAGGAAGCTCAAGAATCCAAGGTCCCAATCAAAACATTTTAATATATGCGTGGAGAGTGACTCGAACCCCTGACGTCCCACCACTTTGGCACTCTATCTAATTTGATTATTTCTTTCACATTTTATATTTATACCATAAATATATAACAATCAACGTCATTTAAATTTATTTTGATTCAATATAGTCACTGTACTTTATATTTTAGTGTCACTATGGTCATTTGAATTGATTTTGATTTATCATTGCTACCCAACTTTATATAACATTTTAGTTCAATCACTCGATTATTACCACCAAAAAATAAAAAATAAGAAAAATCGCATATCCAAAAATTTAAACATAATTATTACCATAATAATAAAAAGGAAAATGAGAATCAGAAACAAAAATAAAAACACACAATATGATAATAATTACATAAACTTAAAATTTTTTTATACGAAAGCAGAAACAAATTTCCTTTTTTTGATTTGTGTTTGATTTATATTATATAATTTTTTCTGATTCGGGTTAGAGGATTTTTCCTTGAAAAGTGTGCGTGTGATTAGTCAGTATATTTTGTGTGTTAGCAGAAACAAAACAAAGAAAAAAAATTATTTCTGTTTTCATATATATATTTTTTAAAGTTTTCGTAATAATTACCTTGTTATTTTCAATGATTATGGTTAATCAGAATTAATTTAGTTGGCCATGTTAGGATTTAACCGTTCAAAATGGAGAAATATTCGAAGTAATATGCTCACCATAGTACGAGGGAATTGAACAGAATTCCTCAGCAAACCTACGAAAAATGCAAACTCAATTTCCACACGGCAAATTCTCACCAACCACAAACGATCCTGTATTAGAATTCCAATACAACTGAAAAATCAATTGAATTTAATTTCATAAATGGAAGCTAGAGCTGGAGTATCGGGTCATGGAGGAGTGGTGGACGGTGGTTCTGCCACCAGGAAATTTCTACACCGCCACCACCACTCACGGCCGCAGCAGCAGGAGCAACCGCCTCCATCTCAGATCGGTACTGTTCCTGAGCTTCTCGCCGGTGGTGTCGCTGGAGCTTTCAGCAAGACCTGTACAGCGCCTCTTGCTCGTCTCACCATTCTGTTTCAGGTGCTTTAATTTAGTACTTTCTAGTCTAAAATATGTCCTTTTCTCCTCTTCGACTCTTGTTATAATGGAAAAATATCCTAATTGCGAAAGTGATATGAATAAGATGGAAGAAATAAAAATAGAATAAACGATGGAGTTTCCAGAGTACCTTATGAATTGCTTGAAAAAACTAGAGTTTATGTGAATATCTATTTTCCCATTTATGGGTGCCATAAAAGAAAGGGTTTTAAAATTTTCGTGTAATATTGGTTGGTATTTCCAAATTATATACAACTTCAAAAGATTCAGAACTCAGCATGGTTCTTTTCGGCTATTAGCAAAAAATTGCAACTATAATTCGGGCAGCTATATTTGAATCTTTTGAGGATGTTTTGTGCTTCTGAAAATTTCCTTGTGCCAGCAATGCCTTTCTTTACCATAATATACAAAAGTACGCCGTGTGAATTTTTACATCTTATTTTTATTCACATCGGTGGCCTATTTGAACTTGTTAGGATGTATGCAGTTGATACTAACTAATAAATAGTTTCTTCTTCTTTTTATTCTAATAGAAAGATTTGTTCTCGTATTTTCTTTTCCCCCTTATTTGTCAATCCTAGGATATAATATTTTTGTATTCCGTATCCTCTGAGCTATAAATGTCAATCTCTTTAGGTACAAGGCATGCACTCAGATGTTGCAGTATTGAGTAAGCCTAGCATGTGGCGCGAGGCATTACGTATTGTCAATGAAGAAGGTTTAAGAGCTTTCTGGAAAGGAAATCTGGTTACAATTGCTCACCGACTTCCTTATTCTTCAGTAAACTTCTGTGCGTATGAACACTACAAAAGTGTGAGTTTTTAAGAGATGCGAATTACAGTTTCGTTCTAGGTTAAGTATATTTACTATACTATTTTGCTGATGTCATAATCTTTGCAGATTTTAAAATCTATCCCTGGACTGGATGGTCATGGGGGAAATGCAAGTGCAGGTATTCTTGTGCACTTTGTGGGTGGTGGTTTGTCAGGAATAACTGCTGCTTCTGCCACCTATCCACTAGATCTTGTGAGGACACGGCTTGCTGCACAGGTAATATAGTAATACTTCATGTAGAACTACTGAAAAGAAAAATATTAACATAAATGAGGGGAACATCCGCGACTTATTTCCAATAAATTTGGTTGGGGACGTTAAAGAAATAAACAGAAATAGAGATGTACCCAATCAAGCTACTAGCACACATGCATATGAAACTACCAAAGCCATTAGGTTTGGCTAGCCATTCCTTTTTCCCATTGGCAGCACACTTGTCTTTTTATTTTTCCTTTTTTCTTTCCTTTTCCTTTTTTCATGGTTAAAGTCGATATTTTATTTGCCCAGTAGCCTCGACTAATTTAGTTTGAAAACCTTGTAGAGAAATGCAATTTACTACCAGGGTATTTGGCATGCAGTCCGTACCATTTGCAGAGATGAAGGTTTCCTTGGTCTGTACAAAGGACTCGGAGCAACACTATTGGTATGTCTCTTGCTTTGGTTCCTTGTATGACTAGACATGTTACCTGAATACAGATATTTTCGGTTGCCATGTTTGTTTCTTCTTTTCTTTTCTTTTCTTTTACATTTTTGTTTCTAATCTCTGAGATGCTTTGCATTTTGCAGGGTGTTGGACCCAGTATAGCCATAAGTTTTTCTGTTTATGAGACCTTGAGATCTTATTGGCATTCTCAAAGGTGAATATGTAGTCACTGATATAATTAGAGTTCCCAGTCTTTTCTTTGTCCTTAATTAATCTTCTTGAGAATGACTTGTTGCTTCTCTATTAGGCCCAATGATTCTGCTGTTGCGGTCAGCCTTGCTTGCGGCAGTCTTTCTGGGATTGCTTCATCAACAGGTGAACGAGTTTATTTTATTGCTAGAAAGACATATACCTGTTTCACTGGGTGAGTGGGGCATTTTCGAAGAGAGAGGTTGACGGGGGGTGGCTATGTTGTTGTCATTAACATTCAATATGTTATGCCTTTTATGGGTGAATAATTTCTCAGTTTGGAGCTGCTAAAATTCATTTGATTTTTTTATCTGTACAACTCATTTAAGATGACGTGCTTTTGATTCTGATGCCTGGAATTTACTATTATTAGTATTGATCATTTAGTCTCATTGCTACTTGGATACTAGTGCAGTAGTTTTTGGCATCCAGTATGCTTGTTTGCTATTTTTATATTCTGTTTCATTGCACTTTCCCTCTTTTCACGAATTTAATTTCAAATGGTTGTACCTGTACATGCTATAATTCATTTGATTTTTTTATCTGTACAACTCATTTAAGATGACGTGCTTTTGATTCTGATGCCTGGAATTTACTATTATTAGTATTGATCATTTAGTCTCATTGCTACTTGGATACTAGTGCAGTAGTTTTTGGCATCCAGTATGCTTGTTTGCTATTTTTATATTCTGTTTCATTGCACTTTCCCTCTTTTCACGAATTTAATTTCAAATGGTTGTACCTGTACATAGAAGATTGTTCGCTATTCACTTGCTCGCACTTGGATAACCTGGCATTGAGTTTTGGAGACTAGTATAATTCGATAATATGACACATTTGGAGAAATAGTGGAAGGGGAAAATACTAGGATTGATTTTGAACTCGTACGGTCTATCTGAGTTCAATATGCAGATATCGGGGTCAGCAAGTATCATTTTATTGTCTAGCAGAAGATTTTACTCACAAAATACAGTTTTTGAAATATGACAAAATTTAAGTGTTCCGTCCACACAAAAAGGTTAAATATGATTGGGCTAGAAATTTAACCACATTTGCTAATGTCACTGACATTCACAAATGAAATTTATTAGAATCTACTAATTGATGATCACAAGATGAAATTTAGTAGCCAGTTAGTTATTGATCAATATTTGGCCTTACAATTGAGTTTCCCTAACCCATGTCTTTAACACTTTTGCAGCAACTTTTCCTTTGGATCTTGTGAGGCGAAGAATGCAATTGGAAGGGGCTGCTGGTCGAGCCCGTGTGTACAATACTGGATTGCTTGGGACATTTCGACACATAATCCGTGCGGAAGGCCTACATGGTTTATATAGAGGGATCATGCCAGAATACTATAAGGTTGTTCCAAGTGCAGGGATCATTTTCATGACATATGAAACGCTGAGGAAATTCCTATCGCATGGGCTGATCAATTCCTAGTCATAATCGCTGTTATATTACTTCCCTTCGTCTATCATTTCGACAACCTGTCTGTCTCAAGGATCAAGGTTTGGGTAAATTACAAAGGCAAGTAATGAAAGTTAGCTTTGTTGCTATGATACTTCAAAAACATATTCCATGGTGGTAAATTTTGTGGTTGCTGGTGGTTGCTGCTATGACCTATTTTTATGGGCTTACTCCTAATGGAAGATTGTTTACTAGTTTTAGGGACATTCTGTTCATTGATGATTTGTATCATCCACTCAGGTCAAAATTCCTGGAACAACTATCTCTAACCTCAAATATCAATGAGTAATTCTTGCTCCTTTCTTGGCTTGACCTGAAATTGTTTAGTATTGAAAATACTTGTTAAATTGATGAGAAATGGAGCTTGACTATTATGAATAAGGTTTGAACTAAACTCAGATTAGTTTTTTATTTTTATGCACTAATGAAGATCTTTATAGCAGAAAAGCTTGATCTTGCTTCAAGTTAAATATATTGAATTTAAATATGTTTGTTAATGACTTTTAAGTGCATGTTTTGCGCTCACTACATGTAGGATAGGATGGTTATAATAAAAAAGATTTTTTAGCTTATTTTTTCTTGCTTAACAATGCGAATCTACTGAATTTCCGTTATCAAACATGCCATAAAGTATAGAATATAAATTATTAATAGAAGTGAAGAGACGATGTAAAGCTTAGAAGATCAAGAGTAGCTTTCTACAAGTTTGACCTCTTATAAATTGGCGAAGAATGCGTTTGTGGTGATTTACCTTAAAGATTAGTTTTAAATATGCGGCTTATATCAACTTATTTTGTATGTAGAGGTAATATACTCAGATTTAAGGATATATCCAAAATAATAAATAATAATACTCCTTGAAAGGCTCAAGCTTGGCTCTCTTAACTCCTTACCAAGAAAGCTGATCTCAATTTTTGTTCGAGACGCAGCTCAACCCGACAAATGAAAACTTTCATCACTTGCGTCTTATTTCATAAACATGTCTAATTTTATCTATTTTAGTGTATCAATTGTGTTTTAGCGTACTGACAACTCGACAGGCATCCTTCAGGCTCAAGCAACGGTGGAATAAAATATCGGATATTCCCAGGGAATTTGGGAACTTCTGATACATCAACTCTAGCATAATCATAATGATGTGAAAGGTTTATTTGATAAAAATCATTCTCTTTTAAGTGAATTTGATGCGAATGTTTTGCTTATTGCAAGTTGAATCAGATGCCAATCAATAAAAGCATTGCTCAATGAAGAAGGTTTTGTATGATTATTAATGACAGAAGAGGTATCGTCGAACTTATGAGCAACGTGGTTATATTGTAGACAGTCCCTGCGTAGTTGTGATCTTCAATCATTCAATGGCAGGGAACTAGGGAAGCAATACTCTTTGTACCGACGACTGGTTCTCAAGGGAACCTTTTAGATCGTGGTATGCAGTACTAAATAGTAGGGGTAGATCCAAACATTTTGGGTAAGGGGATCACAATCAAACTTTCGAAAAATGACGAAAAAATTAAAGTTAAAGATCTTATTACAATTGTTCTCTACGTGTTTTCATACTTTGACAACGTTCTATAATTAAATCATTTTCAATCTTGTCAAGTATACCTTTCTCAATATATGCAATCAAATTATTATTCAAACATTGATCTCATATTTGATTGAGCAAACATTTTTGACATAAATCATTGCAGAAAATGCTCTTTTGACGGTAATTGTTGCTACGGGAAGAACTAAAGCTAATGTCACAAACTTATAGACTAATAATTATGAGATAAGATCCTTTTGAATGGGCTAAGAGAATGCCTAGAATTCTTATTTATTTTTTTTCGTTTTCCTAATCGAAGAAATAATTGGAAAATAAACATCTCAAATGGGCATGTATCTTTCTAGGCTTTCACCACTTCATGCTTATTCTTCACTATCAACTTCTGTGCAAGATCACTAATGCCTTGTAATCCTTCAAAATTTTCGAAAGTGTATAGAATTACGTTTAAAGTATTTGTCCATAGCTGATACAAATAAAAAATCAAACCACCTTAAAAATCCCTAAATCAGTTTCTCTTTCTAAGTCATACCTACAAAATTTCAAACATGTTAATCAAAAAGTTTTAACCTTCCTAAATCAATTTACATATAAATAAAAAAGCCCTAAATCAGTAATCCCTAATTTTCTAAATCAAAAATCCCTAAATCCCTAAGTTAGAAAACACAATTAATGGCAACATTGGCATTTGACAGGAATGAGTAATACATAAATCAGAAATATATATTAACTACATTGCTGACACTAAAACTGGAAGAAAATAACTAAAATCAAATGGTAATATCACACACCTTCAAGAAGGTGGCAGTGGATAGAGCCGAAAGTAAGAAGCTTAGAAATATGCAGACCACAGATGGCACAAAAGATCTGAAGATGCACAACATGACAGCGAAAACAATGGTAGATTGTGGCAGGGGTTTATTCAAATGGGGCTTATTTTAATGCAGCATATTCAAATTGGTAGTGGCTAATGGCTTATTCAAATGGTGAAGACGTAAAGTGGTGACCGATGGGTAAATGATAATGGCAAATCTAAGGGGTCACGTTACCCCCTAGGCCAACCCCAGTTCACCCATGCTAGATAGGACAATAAAAAAAAAGGGAATTTACATAAATGTCATTAAATTTGAAAATGTGCAAAAAATTTTGTCTTGGATAAATTTTTTTCAAAAATGTCACTTTTTCTCCATAAAATGTCCATCTTACCCTTTGACACATTTTTAGGAGCAATAAATGCTTGATTTGAATGTAATTAATAGTGTGATGTGATTATTTATTGTTCTTTATTGTTAACATTGAAGAAATGAATATTATATTGTATAATATGAATTTTTGATTAAAAACAGGGTGGAATCTGTACAAAATACACACACATACACACGTAGGATTTGAAATAGCTTCTTCTTCTTCATCATTTCCCTTCCATCATCAACAAGGCAACAAAGAAAGTCATTTATCAATCTCAAAGGTGAGGTAGTAGGAGAGAAATCTTTTCATGCCATACTTGACTATTTTAAATGTTCAATAGAACATGGTCATAATTAATTGTCCATCTTTAATCTCTTATTTATTGATATGTTTTATTTTTGGTATATTTTAAAAAGAGAAAAAATACCAATATTCTCAACAAAATGTGAGGATTTCATATTTAATAAAGCATTGAGTTATACTTTTTTATGTGTGGGAATATCAGTTGATATTGTAGTTGAGAATTGATTATTACCATTAATATTTTGCAATAAATTCTTCAAACAGTCAAACACATGATTTTTAGTTTCTCCGAAACTTGTGGCAGTTCAACTGTTGAGCAGTTTCGTTGAAACCGTCGGGTTAGACATTTTTTAAGTGTTGAACTCGACATTTAGTAATTGTCGGGATGGATAGAGAATTCAATTGTCAATTTTGACACCTGATAAGCTTTCTCTTTTTGATAGTACTTGGATCACAGTATTCTAATGCGTCAATTTGACGATATTAAATCTTTCGACATATGAATGTATAGAATTCTCACTTTTGTAGTCCCAACATTTCAGGTATGGCTCAAGATTTGAGATTCATCGTGTCGCATGGAGGGAACTTTGTTCACGTGGATGACGAATGGAAGTAAAGAGGGGACAAAACGACTTCCATTTTAGCGTAAAAAAGCATTACCGTAGCAAAACTTGTGTTACGGTTGAAGAACAAACTTGGTATTGTTGAAGCCCGCAATGAAATCGAATTGAAGTTCAAAGTCCCGAATTTTAATATACTTCCAGCAGAGATACGCAACGATGATGACCTAAATTGGTACATATCTATTTATAAGGAAATTGCACTCTGCGTCAGTATTTTGAAAATCGTGCTCTCGAGTGTTGACATGGCGAGGGAAGCAAATTGTGTAGGGAACCTGTTCGACCGAACGGAATGTCCCCAAAATTTACCACATGGTGAGCTCAATTTTCAGCATAGTGTGTCGAACACCGAAGCACCTAAACCTCCAATTGACTATATCGAGGCTGCAGCATCCGTTGAGCACTTAGACAACCCCTTACATGGTACAGATGGTGCTATTATTGCTGACATTGACCAGCCAATGTCATCACATTCCATCAGTTCAAGCACAGATGAGTGTTTTGCAACCGTCGTTCTCGCCGAAAAGCAAATAATTTTTAGCAAGAAACAGTTGTACTCGAAGATTCGTCTGCTTGTTTTGCAAGAGAAGTTCCAATTTCGGGTTAGCAGGTCAAGCATGAAAATGTTAACCGCTGTATGTGTTGATGAAAATTGCAAGTGGATGCTACGTGATTCTACTGTCAAGCAATCTGCAATCTTCATGATCCGTAAATTCATCAACATGCACACAAGTTCCCTTATTTTTCGTCGTAACGCATATCGACATGCCACTAGTTCTGTAATTGCTGAGCACATTTTGGGATAACTGGATACTCCATACCGATCGTATGACCTTACCGCTATTGCACGTGATATGGAACGTGAGTTCAGTGTGAAAATTAGTTACAACAAAGCTTGTAGGGGAAAGTTTCATGCCTTTACTATGCTAAACGGTACACCGGAAGCCAGTTTTCAAAAATTATCTTCATACTGCCATGTCATAGGAGAGAGTAATCCACATCGAACTTAATTCTCAAAATAGGTTTCATTACTTCTTCCTAACTTTCGGTGCAAGCATTCGTGGTTACATGCAGTATTTGAGACCCGTTATTTGTGTTGATGACAGTCAGTTGAAGGGTCCATACAAAAATACACTTATAGTGGCAACTGCCCAAGATGGTAACAAATAGATATATCTGTTGGCATGGGGGATTGTAGATGCTGAAACCAATAAATCCTGGAAGTGGTTTATGTCCAACTTGAAAGAGCTTATAGGGGACTCCGAAGACCTCATATTTGTTTCAGACGGGAAAAATAGCATTGACAAAGCTATTACTCAGTTGTTCACGTTGTCTTACCATAGTTGTTGTATCTGGCATCTCGAAAAGAACCTAATACAGTGGTACAGCAACGCAAGTACAATATTTCTATTCAAACGAGCTGCTACAACTTATCGGGTACTTAGAGCGTGCAGGTTATTCATTTTGGTCTCGAGCACCATTTATTGGCCGTTGTTATAACATTATGACGAACAACAACGCAGAGTCTTTGAACTCCATGTTGAGAGAAGCCCGTTCTTTACCGATAACTTGGTTGGTTGAACACATTCGGAGTACTATGTATAAGTGGTTTTAGAATGTCAAAAAAATACGACCGAATGCAGTACCGTATTGGCGCTGAAGATGGAGAACGAGTTACGGATGACATTCGAAAGGGGAACTAGGCTTCGAGCCCATTTGTTGACAAACAACTTTACTCAACTTG